CTGAGACTGCCCCCATCACAATGACAAACTTGCCTTTTAAAGAGGAGAATTGATTACACTCCTTAAAGAGGACCTTTACTCATATCTTTAAAATAACAACAAACACACCTTTAGTAATGCTTAGTAATGACAATCTACAAACAGATAGTACCAGCTAATTTCCGGCTTTGTGCTCTTTTCATACCTTATTTCTCTTTTCTTTCCCCGTCTTCTGACAGTGGCCATGTTTACTAAGGGCAGATTACTATATATACACCTTTATTTCCTGGAACTATGGCACATGTGACTAGGACATGTGACTATGCACATCATCTCAGGGGAAGAAAATGCCTTTCCCTGAGATCTCATGAGATTACAGATGAGACTTCCCAGCAATGCTCTGCTGATGTAAACTTCCCAGGATGCAATGCTTGGACACCTACATAATGTGTGCCAGAAGTGGACCAGGAAGTAGAAAAACTCTATTTGTAAGTAAATGAAAAACAAGTTTGTTTAACTAATGAATGTAAGTTGATTTTAAATCTGCATGCTGATGTGAGTTTTAGTGAAAGGGGGTAAAGGTCCACTTTAAGAAATCAGTGCAGCACAGGCAGAATCCACAGGTAATTTTTCCGTTCTACTGCTATGATCATCCTGATCGGTCAATAAGGATTTAGTTATCAGACAGTGAGATTCTGAAAGCCATATGTCTGTTCCACAGTAAATAACTTGTGGCTGTAGAGGGAAGGCTGAAGGAGAGTATATAGATGCTGTTGGTGGTGGAGATGTTGCTGTAACAGAAGAGTCTAAGGCTGTAAAAGTGTTGTCTTCCATATGCAATGCATGTGTTTGGATTGTAATACAATGTTCATTACTTTTCAAATAATTTTAGCAGTCAGATAATTTCCCTCAAATGTGCTTTCACGGCATATTTAATTGGAGTCTGGCTAATTTTGTCCTTTAACATTCTGGTAAACAGTGAGACTGAATTAACACAAAGGCTGTTGTAGCTAATTTCCAGGAGCAAAGCTTTTCACTCTTGTGGCCTGTAGAGGATTACTTTTCTTTTACCTGAGCTGTCACATTGGCTGATTTGCATAATGAACTATCATTCATCTTGTCTAAATATCATTAAACATTAATCAATTTTCATGCTTCCTGTGATGTAAGTTATTGCTAATACAATCACATTTTACTTTCCAGACTCCTGCCTTAGGGATCTAATTGTTTTACAGCTGAAGTTTAATCTGCTTATTTTTTGCCCTTCCTCCCCCCTTATCAACATGCAATGACATTTTTATATAAAACCTTTTCATTTTCATTACATACCTTATTTTAGACCCAATTATATTATCACTGGATCTTTGTGCTTCATTATGCAATGCAGGAAGACTGTGGCTTGTGGTAGGGGTCGGTTGGGTGCTGTACATAGCTTCCTGAAAACATCACACCCACCATCTCAGTTCAAGCAGTTACACAGTTACATAGTTAGTCAGGTTGAAAAAAGACACAAGTCCATCGAGTTCAACCTATAGAGAAAAAAAAAAGAAGAAAAGCCTAAACAGAACACTATGCCCACAATTACCCCCTGTTGATCCAGAGGAAGGAAAAAAAAACCTATAAAGCATGGTTCAATTTGCTGCAACAGGGGAAAAAAAATTCCTCCCTGATCCCATAAGCCAATTGGATATTCCCTGGATCAACAATCTCTGATGCCTAATATACCTATAATAACTGAATCTCCAGTAATATTCTGTACATTTAAGAATACATCCAGATATTTTTTTTAACAATTTACAGAGCTAATTAGAACTAGCTCCTGGGGGAGTCTATTCCACATTTTCACAGCTCTAACTGTGAAGAATCAGTTTCTTATGCAAAAGTTAAACCTCTTTTCCTCCAGACGCAAAGAGTGCCCCGTTGTCCTTTGCAATGACCTTAACGTGAATAATTTGGCACCAAGCTCTTTATATTGACCATTTATGTATTTATACATGGTGATCATGTCCCCCCTTAGTCGCCTCTTCTCCAGAGAGAACAAATTCAGGTCAGCTAATCTTTCCTCATAGCTGAGCTCCTCCATGCCTCTTATGAGTTTAGTCGCCCTTCTCTGCACTTTCTCCAGTTCCACAATATCCTTTTTGTAAACTGGTGCCCAAAACTGAACTGCATATTCCAGATGAGGTCTTACTAATGCTTTGTACAGGGTCAGGATTATGTCTCTATCTCTGGAGTCTAGACCCCGTATAATACAAGAAAGTATTTTGCTTGCTTTAGAAACTGCAGCTTGACATTGCATGCTGTTATTGAGTCTATGATCTACCAGAACACCCAGATATTTCTCCATCATTGACTCCCCCAAACATACTCCCCCCCAGAGTGTATTACGCATGCAGGTTTTTAGTCCCCAGGTGCAGAACTTTACATTTATCAACATTAAACCTCATTTGCCAAATAGATGCCCAATCACACAGTGCATTCAGATCTGCTTGTAAGTTGGAGACATCCGGTAAGGACAGTATTCCACTACATAACTTGGTGTCATCTGCAAACACAGAAATAGTACTTTTAATCCCCAATTCTATGTCATTTATAAATAGGTTAAACAGTAA